CTCCAATTTTCTGTGTCCTATCTGTAGTAGTTCTTATACACAGAAACCACAGTTTATTCATCTAGCCTTCCAGCATTTCTTTTTCAATTATAAGAACACAATGGCTTTCAGGCCTCCTGTAATCTGATTAAGTCTCCACTTTCTATGCATTCCCATTTTTGTTTCAGACTTGTGTACTTCTTTGTTTAACTGACCAAGTTGGGCCAACTATATTGCCTCTGTTATTCCCAACCCCAAGTTCTTTACCCCAGGGAGGGAGCCTCTCTCTGCCTATACAATCAACTTAATGCCTAGTTGTTCACAGTATCCCCACTGCCTAGAATGCCCTTCTTGTTCCTGCCTATCCAAATTCTATTTATCCTCCAGAGCTGGCTTCACATCCCATCTCTTCCATCAGCTTTCTCTGACCTAGCTGTTCTCCACTGATCTCTCCTTGTTCTAGAACCCTTTAGCAATTACCTGCATCACTCCTTCTGTCCTTACTCTCATCTGAAATGTTTATGTCTTGTCACCTGAGCTCCTGGAAGGTGGAGACCACACATTTGCTTTCCTGGAAGTTCACTTTGGTGTCAGCAACGCGGAGTGTGGCTGCACAATCAGCACCGCTTTATGCATCAGGACAGTTGTTTGTGAAATCCATAGCATTGGGCCGGCCCCGTGGCTTAGCGGTTAAGTGCGCACTCCGCTTCTGGCGGCCCGGGTTCGGATCCCGGGCGCGCACTGATGCACCACTTGTCCGGCCATGCTGAGGCCGCGTCCCACATACAGCAACTAGAAGGATGCGCAACTATGACATACAACTATCTACTGGGGCTTTGGGGGAAAAAGGGGAAAAAAAAAAGGAGGAAGATTAGCAATAGATGTTAGCTCAGGGCTGGTCTTCCTCAGCAAAAAAAGAAGAGGATTGGCATGGATGTTAGCTCAGGGCTGATCTTCCTCACAGGGGGAAAAAAAAAAAAAAGAAAAGAAATCCATGGCATTACCAGAACATTCTCTCTTCCAGAGTGTCTCTGGTTCTCACAGCGCTGGGCCAGTGACTACCTTGAAATATCAACATCAAAAGGCTGCTAAATCAGTTTGTGACAGAGAACTGGGCCTAGGTAATTAGTATATCTATATGGTTAACGTAAACATGCCATGCAAACTCTAAACTGGGATAAGCACTCAGACGTATAAACTTCTGAGTCAGTGAAGGGCAGTATTTATAACAGATTTTGCTATGGAATATTATATATCGCTTTCTGGGAATGCATATTTTAACTATTGGTATTAGATTTATCAGAAAAGCCACAGATGTTTTTCAGACCCAAAGCTACATTTTCCTGTAAGAGTCAAAAATAGAAATACAACTACTTAAAGAAATCAAACCATCTAGCTAGACCCAAGTAATCAAATTGATGTAGTGATGAGACAGCTAAACAAATCACCAGAAACTTAAGTAAATACACATTCTCTCCCTGACTGTACGTTATATGGCCTATCAAAGAATCTCAAATTGATGGTCCTGATTTCAACTCTAAGACAGATCTGGTTAAAAAGCTTTACTGTTACAATGTTAGAGCAAGTCATCTAATTTCACAAAAGAGAACAGAATCAAACAACTACTTTTATTAAGGTAAATAAAATTTTAGTTTTCACTGTATACCTTATGCATGAGCCACATGATAAACAGCCATTAAAAAGAGAAAGAAACATGGCCCTTATAATAGGAACTGCCTATGAAGTTGGGTTAAGAGATGTAAGAAACTATCTCAACATGATTACCATATGTAGAAGATGGTGAACCCTCATTCTCACTTGACATTGTTATTGGCCCCAAGACAATTTCTGCGAGATAAGAACAGCACTTTATATTTAGGTAAGAAGCCAGAATGATATGCCATTCTTATACACTACAGTAAGACGGAACTAGGGTCCCTAGAATATTCTCAAAGCAGCCCAGGCCCAGGGCAACGCTCAAATAAAGGGAGAGTGCAACTCTTGGGGAGCACTACTCACTGATCTTCTGTTCCAAAAAACTTCACAAAAAAGCATTTCTTTCCACGCGGTTTCTTCAAGTCCTTGGGTGGATTAACAATCTGGGGGATAAAAGGGAAAAAGTTTTTTTCCACAGCTCCAAATTAACAAGAAAAAACCCTAAATAAAACAAAAGGAATATGACTGAAAAAGAACCCAGAGCCTAGCACACGTCCAAATGTGGCACTTTACCATGATGTGAGGAAACATGCAAATATTCTAGAAGTTCCTACATCTAACATGTAGTACAGCATTCAATAGATACAATATCCCCTTTACTGCAATGGTCGTGTTTTAAAAGCATTTAAAACTAAGACCAACATTATTTGCCCCCAGTGTGACCTTGTCATCACTGAAAAAATGCACAGGACACTCTTAAAAATACTTGTGTGCAGGAAGAGTTGCGACAGGTAATAGTGACAAAGAAGGACAACCGAGGCACTGAAAATGCCATATTGCAAAGAGACAGTCTAAAGACATTTCCCAGGCTCCAAACAAGAATATAACAACAGAACATTTGGAAAGCTATGACGGATCGCCTCATGCAAAATCTGGAATGCCAACTTTTGCAAAGATGCACTGGAGAGAGCAGCACATATGGTAACATGGAAAGATTTAAACTTAGTTGGGACAAAAATACTTTGACTTTTCACTAACCTACATTTAGATTTCTCTCTTCCTGGAGAATTTATTTTCCTCTCCTTTTGTTAGATTTAACTGTAAAGCTATATTCAAGTTAGAATTGATTTCCAGAGTTAAAAGACTTCACCACAACTCTCTCTGATTCAAGAAATAAGCATTTACTGTAGATTAAATGACCTGGTTTATATTATATTGCTTTTTCTAAACAAACTGATAATAGAGAAAAAAAAATTCTGAGTGTCATTTAAGTAGGCCCAGTTTGACCCAATGCTAGAAATTGAGGCGGGTGCATCTTACATTCTCCACCTTCTCAAATGCAACTTCAGATGTCTTCCTATAGTAGCTTCTAGTAGTAGAACACACTCACCTTTCCTGGCCAAGGAGGATACCGGCCGAGTTTCCCCCTAGAGAAAACACAGAGAATCAGCATTTGCCTTGGAAAAGCCAGTCCATCTCCTTCAACCCACTCAACATGCAAGTTCTTTTCTAAATCTCCACTCGCACCCTCAAGTGCCAGAACAAGTTTGCAAACAGGAGTTCTTAATTTGGCTTCCACAGCTGGGCCCAAGAGGCCCAAATCCCTCAGAGCTGGGATGCAAAATTGTAAACGCATGTGCACAAGGTATGTGCATTCTCCTGGTGACAACAAATACACAATAATGAAACCACAAGAATCACTTGTCTAGAGCCTCCCCGGGACGGGGGCGGGGGGCAGTGTGCTCTGTAAACACAGACTTTCCCTCGCAAAGTCTGGTTTAATTCACCGCGGGACGGCCCGGCTCTGACAAATGCTAATGGGAGCCTTCCTCTGGGTCGGGAAACGAGCTACGCAGCTCCAGGGAGGCGGCGAGCGTCAGTCTCAGTTCGGGCGGTTGTCTGGGACACACGAGCGGACCACGAAGGCACCCAGGAAGGCACTGGTCCCCGCCAAGCCTCTGAGTGTAAAGGAGAAGTCCCCCCTCCATTTCTTCACGGGGCAGCGCCAACAGTCCGGTTTCGACACCCCGGGCCGAGCCGCCGCACAGGTCGGTTCCATCGCAACGCGGGTTTTGACCGGCTCGCCCGGCGAGATGGCCCCGCCAGCTCCCCGACTCTGCCGCTTTCCGAGACGCCTGGGCAAGACCTCGAGGACCCGGCGTCCGCAGGAGCCGCGCGGCACCGGGCACTCCCTCCACCGTGGCCGCCGGCGTCCGGGTCCGGGGCTCAGAGACCGGCCCGCCGCGGCCACCCTCGGCCTCAGTCCCCCGGGGCCGGGCTGCCCCTTCCGCCCGGCGTCGCTCCCAGCGCCGGCACCTCGTCTCGCCCTCTCTCGCGGCCTGGAGCGCATAGAAAGGCAGCTCCGAAGCTGGCGGCGACCCCCGTGCCCAGGGGTGCAGCTTCGCGGCGCACCTCGCTCGGCCCCGGCCGCCCGGACTCACCACACCAAATCGCCGAGCCGCAGACTCACAGCCGCCATCTTACCACCCAACCACGGCCGACGCACGGGCCGCCGGGAACATCAGGGCGCCCCGGCACCGCCCATTGGAGTGCGCCCGGCCACGTGACGGGGGCCGGCTGTCAGCGGCCACGCCGCGGCTCTGACGTCACCGCGCCCGCCGGGACTCATTGGCCGGCTGAGCGGCACGTGACCCGGGAGCCGCGGTCTCCGCGCGCCGGAGCCCCGAGACTCCCGGCTCTTCTCCCCCTCCCTCCGGCTCGTGACAACGAAGCGCCGGCGGTCTGAGGCGGCGGTGGAGGCGGCGGTAGCGACTGTGCGGCCGGCCGAGAGCGCGAGGGAGCCGGCCCTGCGGTCCGCCCCGCCCCCGGGTCCCGGCCTCCAGCCCCCTCCTCCTCGGCGCTTCCGTTACGGCCGTTAGTCTCGCGCGGGCCCCGGGGCCGGCCGCGTCGGCGCGCCGGCAGCTGCCCTGACAGACTTCGGCGCGGCCTGGAAGCCAGCCTCCGCCCGCGCCCGGGGCCCCGCGCCCGGCGAGCTCTGCGTGGCCGCGCCCGGAGGGCCGACGGGTCCTTCGGAGGCTGCTTTCTGACGGCCGGGGTCCGGGGAGCGGCTCCGAGCCCGCGTCCGCGCCGCAAGTTGTCCCGGGGCGCCGGTGCAGCCCGCCCCGAGGTCGCGAGCTGCTCGGCCGACGTGGAGCCGGCGTCTCTCCGCTTC